GGATCCATGGTTCCTGCAGACCACCGGGCACCAGATGCCGCCCACAGCACCGCTGCGTCACAACAAGCGGCCGGCGCCACAGCCGAATGTCGCCGGGATCGTAGGAGGAGGAACGGGAGCCGTGGGGGCCGTGCTGCTCCACCAGCAACAGTTGAGCCAATCGCAGCCGCACATTGTGCCGCCGAGCATACCGCCCCACCATCACCATCATCGCGAGAACAATGTGGTAATTTGGTTGCCCCAAAGCCATGCCTAAGCCTCGATTCTAATTCAAAAACCCTCCGCCTCCTCTTGCCGCTGCTCTCATTTCAGCATCCCAGCCAGGCCGGAGGGGCGGCGTCAGCGGTCGCCTTGCATTTGTCATCGCATGCGCTTAATAGTCATAATTTAATCAGCAGCAGCAGCAGCAGCGCCAGCAATCACCAATCGCCCAAATCCCCCAGCCAGACACAGCAGCAGCAGCTACAGCAGACGACGCAACTGCAGCAGCAACAGCAGCAGCCACCACATAGTATACTTTCCACATTTGCTCCTGTGGCTGCCGCACAGCCGCCTGCCCAGCCAGCGGGGGCTGGTGTGGGGGTAACCGCCGCAGCCGTGGCCGCCGTTGCCCAGCAGCAACAGCAGCAGCATCTCCAGCTGCTGGCCAACTGTGCTGCTGCGTCCGGCGGTAATCTGATGTCCTCCTCGATGAATGCCGCTCAAATGGCCCTGCATGCCGCCGAGCGGGCGCTGCCGCCAAAGAGCCTCGCGCTGAGTGGGAGCCAGCACGGCAGCAACATGCTGCTGCACACTGTGGCCCCCACCGGCAGCTCCTCCGGCACCCAAGTGCCGCCCCAGCCATCATCCGGCGCCAGTGGGACGGCGGGCATGTCCACTTCCCTGCACAGCTTCGACATCAACGGGGCAGCGGGATGCGGAGGAGGCGTGAATGTGAACGCGGCAAGCTCTTGGTCGAGCGGCTCCACCACAGCCATGAACCATGCGGCCTCCCTATCGCCAACAGCTCTAGCCCCGCAGCAGCTGCGGAAGTGCGAGGTGAAGCTGAATGCCATGCCGTAAGCTATCTCTGGAGTGAATCCCGGAATGAATCAGTCGGGTTAATGGCGATGTTCGTTTGTTCTTTAGGTGGTTCCATGGCAGCATAACGCGCGACGAGGCGGAGCATCTGCTGCAGCCGCGCGAGGATGGGCTCTTTCTGGTGCGCGAATCCACAAACTTTCCGGGGGACTACACGCTCTGCGTCTGCTTTCAGTCGAAGGTGGAGCACTATCGCGTCAAGTATCTGGAGAATAAGCTAACAATCGATGACGAGGAGTACTTTGAGAATCTGGGGCAACTTGTAGCGGTAAGAAACGACTGGAAATATATCCTTAGTCCATGGCTAATTCTCTCTCTCTCTCTTCTCTTTGCAGCACTACGAAGCAGACGCGGATGGGCTGTGCACGCAGCTGATCAAGTGTTTGCCAAAGCTGGGGAAGCAGGAGTTTTGCATCAATTCGAAGGACTTCGTGGACAAGGGATGGGTCATACCCGAAGCAGAGCTGCAGCTGCGCGAGAGCATTGGCAAGGGGGAGTTCGGGGATGTGATGCTGGGCATTCTACGCAACGAGAAGGTGGCCGTCAAGATGCTCAAAGATGAGGGCGCCGTCCAAAAGTTTCTGGCCGAGGCATCCGTCATGACGTAGGCTATAGATCCGCTCTCTTCTCTTTGATGAACTTATTCTGTATCGTTTTTTTCTTGGTAGCACTCTGGAGCACGACAACCTGGTCAAGTTCATTGGCCTGGTGTTCACCAGCAAGCATCTGTATCTGGTTACGGAATACATGAGCAAGGGATCACTGGTTGATTACCTACGTTCGCGCGGACGACAGCACATAACCAAAAAGGATCAAATCATATTTGCCTTGTAAGCATTCACCTTTGATCCCCTGATTAGAAGTCCCTTAAAGCATTGTTTCCTCCTCCGGCTTACAGCGACACTGCCTCTGGGATGGAGTATCTGGAAGCCAAAAAGGTTGTGCATCGCGATCTGGCTGCGCGCAATGTCCTCATATCCGAGGACTGTGTGGCCAAGGTATCCGATTTCGGTTTGGCACGCGAGGAATGCTATAATCTCGATGTTGGCAAGCTGCCCATCAAATGGACAGCACCCGAGGCGCTCAAGAATGGGGTAAGAATCCACAGCTGCCGGTTTCCTGTTGGCTGTTGCCTGTTGCCTGTTGCACTGTCTAACCATTGGTTGACTTTCCCTTTAGCGCTTTTCCAACAAATCGGACATGTGGAGCTTTGGCATACTCCTATGGGAAATCTACTCCTTTGGGCGTGTGCCTTATCCCAGAATTGTATGTACAAATCAAATGAATCTTTCAAGGATCCCTTAAGCTCATTCTGTATCTGTATCTGTATCTGTAGCCCCTGGCCGATGTCGTCAAACACGTAGAAGTTGGCTACAAAATGGAAGCGCCCGAGGGCTGTCCACCGGAAATTTACGAAATGATGCGCCAGGCATGGGATCTGAATCCGGCCAAACGACCCACATTCGCAGAGCTGAAAGTGAAGCTGCAGCTGCTGAACAATGCCACAGCGTGAGGAGATCCGAGAGGATCCAAAGCGAACTTCAAGCAGCACTAAAACGAGGAAACGAGGCGCCGCCCCCAGAAAGGGTAAAGAGCCCTTGCCCTTCGAGACTCCAGACTCCAGTGGAAGCTGGACACTGGACACTGGACACTGGACATGACACATAACGCAACAATTTTTCGTACGATTATATACATGGAATATATATATAACAACTAATTTACCACAAAATTTATTTACATATATAATTTATGGAGTAAGTTTTGTAAGCGTAAACGTAGGCCTAAGCAAAAGAAGGAGAGCCCAACACAATCAATCAATCATCCAAAAGTGACTCCAGATGTTAGTGAGAGTCCGTCCCCCAGCCAGAGCCCCACAGCTTCGCTTCCGACATATACAATACAACGTTGTACGCGCGAGTATCTCAATAAATTTCAATCATAAATTAACCAGCAGAAGATCAGAGAGGAAGAGGAGTTTAGAGGCAGAGGAGGACACCCGTACTACTACTACTACTACTACTACCATTAATTGCAACATTAATTACATTATTATATGTTATGTGTACACTCTTCCGATCAACGTTTCTTCGCTTCTCTGGATATTCGTAAATCAAATCGTTATAATCGTATCATTTATGTTATAGAATACGCATACATATGAGTGCCCCCCAACCCGGCTGAGGAGTGGGCGCATGTCTAAATCAATTGTTTATAGAATGTTTCATCTCTTAAGTTTTATTCTACGACTAGTTCTTTATAAACTACTTTTCTGTTGACCATTTCTGTTTGTAGCACAAAAGATGAGCGGGAAGAGAACTTGTCCAACAGGTTGTCGCGGAGGGGAGGCAAAAGGCAAGCAGAAAGTTAGTTAAATTTATTTACATTTATTTGTATGGAAAATATAAAAAAAATGAAAAAGGAAAAACCAACAAAAATTATGCAATGGAAAAGGATTGAAATGAAAAAAAAAAATCAAAACAAAAAACACTTGTGAAAATATGCATTAAAATGAGTACACACACACACACACACACATAATACGGATACGAATACGAATACACTTAATTGTCGTACATAAACTATGCATGTATTTAGCATATGCCGATTAATTATCATTAATTATCGATATACAAATACTATCAATTATCGCAAGCGCAAATTGAAATTCCTTAATTTGTTCGGTCCATGTCCAAGGAATCTCTCTCCTTCTCTGTACTCCTACTCCTAGAACGCGATGCAGCTAGCGGAAAGGCAAAGGAAACGAAAAAAAATTGTAATTAATTTTTTAAATATATACCACGTAATTTACTTAACACGTACGTAATGTTTACGTTTACGTTTACGGCGCATTCTTGTACATTTGTATTTGCTTTTTAATATCCTGTCCCCCGATTAGCCCACACTTTGCTTTAACACTTACATTTATACTATATATTTTATACACACCAACAAACACACATACACACACACGTCCACATGACACACATTAATTATAATTAATTAATTTTAAAGTTATTATTTTTTTAAAACACATCAAACATAAAACAACCAATCAATCAATGTGAAGCGCGACCCAAGTTCGTTCTCTTTAAGCCACACGCCACACACACAAATTGCACTTAAAAACACAAGGACGACAAGAAGGTGATTTAAGGAAGGAAGGCAGCCGCCAGAGCAGCAGTTCTGAAACTTTTAATAAAAGTAAAAAATACCATGTAGTGTGGCTTGTCGGCCACAAAAAGGCCTAAAAGTATGTGGGGCGGGAAAGGGCTTACCTACAGAAAAAGCACCGGAAGGGGCTCGAAAGAGGCCTCGCCCTTGCACTATGGGAGGGTCAGTTCCCACTGAAAGGTGTCAGAGCTCAGACAGCGATAGCAGCAACAACAGCAACTAGAAGCATCTCGACAGGTCAGCGTTGGCGTCCAAGATTACCTCTAAAAACAGCACAGGCGATCATCCTTAACGGCCAACTAGTTTAAACGCTGTATTATTTAGTTTAGGCGCCTTCAGCCCAAGCAATGTACAAATTTCTGCTCAAAGGAGTTGGACGCAATCTGGGAAGCACACCCCCAGAGCGAGAGAGGGAAACGCTGAATCGGTGGGGATGAGCGTGGGTGCACCCACATTTTAGTTTTACAAATATTCGTGGGGTCAATATTTGGAACCCTCGGTCGGTTTGCGTTACTGTCTGGGTAGTTCATGGTAGCATAAAGGCTCATTGAAACTTGGATGTGGAAACGATGATCGTGGGCGAAGTGCAAGCATTACATCCGCCTCTGTTCTGTCTGACCCTATGTTTTGGTGTCTAGTCTATCCATCCAATAGCTCGTACAGTAAAGGTGGTATGCCACAACCAACCATGGAATGGATCGAGTGTTCAATTAATGAGAAGACTGATCAAAGAAGGAAAAGGCACATTGACGTTGCTGTTTGTTGTTTTTATTTTCGCATAAATCAATTGAACTAAATACACTTCAAAACTTAGGGCGCCTACTTCTGCAGCCGCCTGGTGGCTCGTCGGATGGGGCGTTGCTCCGAAGTGCTCGGCGGCAGGGCGAACATATTGCCGGCATTGATTTGCTGAGACATGCCGGGCGCCACACTCGCCGATGGTGGGGCGGGGCTACCGAAACTGAAGGCCCCTGCTCCTGGATTGGTGGCTGCTGCAGCCTGAACCGGTGACGGACTGGGGCTTCCGAAAGCACTGACACCGCCGCCAAAGCTGAACGGCTTCGCCGTGTTAACGTTCTGGCTGCTGGGCGGAGAGGCCATGCCGCCAGCTGCCGCTCCTCCGAACGAGAATGGAGCGTTGCCCGGTGGTGCCGGGGCGTTGGTCTTGGTTGTTGTTCCGCCAAACGAGAAACCTCCCGGCTTGGCCTGGTTCTGCACGGCGCTCACCGCATTGGCAAACAAGTTGCCGCCTATGGCAGGAGTGGCATTGGGCGCCGCGGTTGTGGTGCCACCAAATGCAAAGGGTTTGCTTTGATTGCTAGTAGCGGGCACGGCAGGTGCCCCAAATCCGCCAAAGCTTGGCGCCGCAACATGTGCTGATGGTGCATTTTGAGTGTTGTTGCTGCTGCCACCAAAACTGAAGCTCGGCTTGATGGACGCGCTGGGGGTGGCGGCGGCGGCGGCGGCGGCGGCGGGCTGGCCAAAAATGCTGGCGCCACTGGTCTCCTTCTTGGCGACAGCGGCAAAGGAGAATGCTCCCGGCTGACCCGGGGCCGACTGCTGCTGCTGCTGCCCTGCTGGGGGGGTTGAGGTTGCCGCACCCTGATTGTTGCTGCTTCCACCGAAACTAAAGCTCGGCTTAACGCCTGTGCTGGCGTTGTTCGGTGTTCCAAAAAGACTCGCTCCACTGGTTGCTGCCTCCTTCTTCCCTGCAGCGGCCACAAAGGAGAATCCTCCGGGCGATGCAGCTGAGCCAGCGGTGGATGCGGTTGTTCCAGGGACCTGTGGCTGTCCGCCACCAAATGCAAATGGTTTTGAGGCTGTTGGAGCTGCATTATTGCCGATCTGAGAGGTCGGCTTCTGAGCTGTACTGAAGCTGAAGGCACTTTTTGATGGGGCATTGGTCGATGTGGCGCCGCCAAAGGAAGGAGGGGCTCCACTCGTGACGCCTGCACCGAAGTTGAACAAATTGTTGCTGCCGCTGCTGTTGCTGCCATTGGATTGCACAGCTGTTGTCGCGCTGGCATCGCCTCCGAATGCAAATGCTGGCTTTGTTTCCTTGATGGTGTTTGGTGCTGCTGCTGCTGCTGATGCTGCTGCAGCACCACCAAAAGAAAACAGTGCGGGTGTACTGGCAGTTGCACTCTGCCCAAAGATGTTACCTGAGGTGGGCGCTGGCGCTGGTGCTGGTGCTGGTGCCGGTGCCGGTGCCGGTTCTGCTGGCTTTGCGACTGCTGCACTTCCAAATGCAAAGAGGTTTGATGTGGTCGCAGCCGCTGTGTTCGTTGTTCCCGTGAAACTGAATGCCTTTGTTGGCTCCGCAGCTGTGGTTGTGGCTGTGGCTGTGACTGTGGCTGCGGGCTGCTTGAATGCGCTGCCAAAACTGTTGCCACCGAAGTTCGGCTTAACTCCGATTATGGCTGACGGCTTTGCTGGCTCTGGAACTGTTGTGGCGGCTTTGTTCGCTTCGGGCTGCTTAAATGCGCTGCCAAAGCTGTTGTTATGTGGCTGTGGGTTCCCAAACAAAGATGTTCCTGTTGCTGGAGATGGTGTTGCTGTTGCTGTTGGTGTTGGTGTTTGTGTTGGTGTTGGTGCAGACGCTGTACTGCCCCCAAAACTAAAGACAGGAGGCTTGGCTGCTGCTGGTGCGCTGGACTCCTCTGTTTTTCCAAACATAAACGCGGCTGTGCTTGTCGCATTGTTTGTGGTGCTGCTTCCGAAGGTCATTGCTGCTGGGCTAGCAGTCGCTGCAGGTGTAGACGCCGATGTAGTTGCTATCCCATTGGTTGGTATTCCATTCATCTTGTTTGTGGGATTGTTTTCCAGTTTGAATGGTATTGCAGTGTCTACTGGCGGCGCTTTGCCAAATGACAGTACGGGCGCTTGAGCACTGCTTGTGGGGGCAAAGACTGATGTTGTTTTCAAAGGGGCCCCGATAACCGTGGCAGTGGATTTTTGACTTCCGAATGTCAGTACTGGTGTGGCTGCAGGTGAGCTCGATGTTGTTGGGGCTGTGTTGACAGCAGTTGGCGTTTCTTTGGATGACTCGTTGGGTGATGCCGCTTCTGCCGCTGCTGATGTCGCTGGTGTTGGTGCTTGGCCAAAGAGAAGCTTCGGCTGCAAACCATTTGTCATAGTCGTGGTAGCTGTGGCTGTTGCTGTTCCTGTTCCTGGAGCTGGTGCGATCACCTTGTCACTCAATATAATTGGCTTGTCACTGCTGGACGTTGTCGTGGTCTTGGTTATTGTCGAGAGGCTGACTTTGGTCGTTGTGTTGGGTGATACCGCTTTGGTTGTCGTCAGAACAATCGGTTTGATGGGTGTCTTTGGACTGACAGGGGCGTCCATTTCGTCTGGTTCTTCTTCTTCTCCCTGGTAGATCTCGCCGCGCAGGCCACTCAGCATAATGGCCAGCTTCGTTTTATGTGTGCGCTCGACGCTGGGATTCTTGACGCCACTCAAGGAGTTCTGCTGCTTGGGCTTCACAAAATTTATGCCCGCGTATTCGCCAGCATCCACGTCGGGACTCTCAAGATCGTAATGTTTGGTCTGCTCTTGCACCTGCTGTTGTGTTTGCTTGGTATTGAAAAGCGTGAGTTTCGGTTTGGAGGCAGCCAATGGCAGATCCACTGCGGTGTTCCTGTGTAGTTCTGTATTTATCTGGTGCTGCTGTCCCATAGCCGGCGCTGAGATGGTGCGTGAGGGCGCCACTACTGGTACTCCTACAATCGGCATACTCTTTGCTATGGCTATGGGTTCTGCGTCTGTCTTGCGCTGCATCTTGGACACTGGTGCGCTGGGGGAGTTCTCGGGCGAGCTGCCGTTGGCTGTGCCCTCCATGCTCGTCTGCCGCATGCTTTCCCTCATGTCGTACAGCTTGCGCTTGGTCACGTGCCGCCGGCTGGAACTCAACGAGGAGGCGATGTCATTGTTGTAGCTACAATTGCGCCGCTTTGCCAGCTGCTCCGGTGAAACGGCCTCAGTGGGCTGCAGGTGATGCTGCGTTTGTGTCGGCGGCGCCAGCGGTGGCACCATTGTCGCCGCATGATGGTGTCTCAGTGGAACTGCCACGCTCAGCTCTCGTTGCCTTTTGAAAGTTGTCGCGGGAGGCGGATGGTGATGATGGTCCACAAAGTCGCCAATGCGATGGCAGCTCCTCTTGAAAAACTCGTGCTGCTTTTGTGTGTCCTGAACAAAATTTAAGCCTGAGCACTTGGCACCAGATCCCAGCACGGACAAACTTACCCCACTGTTGATACGCTTCCGGGAGATCTCTTTGAGTTCTTCCAAAACACTCCTGGTGGGCTCGCTCTCATGCTGCGGCGGATGTGGATGCAGGATGGGGCGATTTTCCCGTGATAACTGTTCGTGTTCATTATTGGACACCTTGTGGACACCCACCACCGAATTGGAACGCAGCAGGCCGGGCAGCGTGCTGCCGCAGTAGAAACTGCGCTCTGGCGGCGCGATTCGAGTCATGGACAGTGACGGTGGCGATGGTCTGTACGGCAGTGGGGACGACGGGGTCCTTCTTGGCTGCTTCAGTGGATTGTACAGATTGCTCACAGATATGCTGCGCTGCAGGCCACGACGGCCGCCCAAGGTGCTGTCGTTATGATATGCAACAATCCGAGAGGCCAGTCCACTGCTGTGCACATCCGCAAATGTTCTGCAAGCGTACAATTTGCATTGGGTTAAGAAGGTACAATTGTTGAGGCGTTTTTCATACTTGGGATCCATCAGACTGAGGTTCAGTTTCTGTCGCGACATTGTTGTTGTCGATGATGCGGTGCGGTTCCCCGGGGTGCCATTAGTTGTGCTTTGGCTCCGTTCGAGACTCATAGTTCTGTGTATGAGATTCGCCGGCGAATGCCGATGAGCTCTACAAAAAAGAGAAACCAAAGGAGTTTAATAGCACACCAGATATGTCTGAGATTTTCCAGTCCTTACACTGGACTCCCATCAATTCTGGTAGAGTCAGCAATCGGATTGCTGTGATGCGGTGACATGATGCTCAAACTTAAGCGCGCCTGATGGTTCATTCTGGTTCAGGCCGATCCGGTTTCTGACGATAAATTCAAATCCAAGTCAACTTTAAAAGTGTCAAACAGTCCGCCAAATCCAAGCTGGCTTTAACAATCAATTTACCAACAAACTCAAAAAGTTGAAAAATTGAACGACACCTGGTGAAATGCAGGCACGCGACCCGTGTTTCTATTCCGATAAAATATACCGTCCGACCCTCAGAAATATACCAAAATATATCGTCTTATTTTAAAAATATACCGTAAAAATACTGACAAGTTCAACTTATATATTACATATTGCTCAATTTTGAAGTTCTGTCGAATATGACTAGATAGATAGAACATTTAGCCATGCCACATCATTTTATCTGATTAATTAACTTACTTTCTACTTGACTCGGACCTCGTGCCTAGCGATAGAATATACGAAATACACCGTTTCATTTTCGAAATATACCGATAAAAAAGTAACAACACCGCGCTTTCCATTACTTGAGATCATTCTTTCCTTTCTTGCATAGTGTTTCTAATATTAAATAGTACTTATATGAGATTACCCGTTATTAAAATGCCGTTTTTGTTTTCATTAGCATAGCAAATTATAGAATATTCTTTAAGCTGTCACGCTATTTTGCATTCACCGATACTTATAATAGTACTTATCGATATATTTCGATATTATGCCGGCAGACTTATGGCAGCTTAAACCCTCAACCCTTAAAAAAGAAAATGAATCTGCCACTGGCAGCCGATATCCTTGATTTAACAATATTATTCAGTTAGATTTTTACTAAATGAGAACTCGTTAGAATAGTTGGTGATGTTGGAAAGGAAAAATCTTATAACTCTCATTTTCAATTTTTATAAAAATTGAAACTAAGAGTTATGAAACCATTTTTTTAAGAAACTGGTAATAAAAGTTTGTCCTGTTAAAGGATACCTTGTCAAAAATAACACATTAACACACTCTTATCTGTGACCCCTGCTTTTAATCTTTTAATCGAGCTCCTTTTGTTTTGCTCTCATGATATGAATCTTGGACTGAAGATGAGCCTTTAAGTGTGTATTGCGCTGGAAAGTTTGATCGCAGGTGGCGCAACTACAAAGATAATATAAATCAATCAAGGGTTTGCGGAAAGAATACAAATGTGTCGGTTTACTTACTAAAACGCCCTCACGTCAGTGTGTGTTAGCTCATGCCGCTTGCGACCAGAAGCCGAGCTGAAACATTTATTGCAATAGTTACAGGCATACGGTCGGGCATTTGTATGAATTCTGGGAGGAGGATAAATACATAGATATTGGTTAGAATCGGAGCCAAAACAAAACACGTTAGTTTTACTGACCGCTCGTGTATTACGCGGGTTGTGCTATTGTGAAAACTCTTGCCGCAATATTTACAGGCATAGGGCTTTTCTCCTCTGTGAACGATCCTTTGGTGGAGCGACAGCAAATGATCGGTGTAGTACTTTTTACCACAGTCCTGGCATGCAAATTTCTTTATGCCCGTATGCCTCAGCATGTGCAATTTGAAGTTGCTCTGATCGGTGAAGTGCCTGCCGCACTGCTCGCAGACACAATCCCGGCGACGCTGCTGCCGCTTTCTTTCGATTATCTCCTCCTCTGTCAAATTTTTCCAAGTCGTATATTGTTTCTTGGCTCTTCTAGCAGGAATTGCAGTTGCCACTTTCTTTGGTCGTCCTCTTTTCTTTGTTTTGGTAGCCGGCGGAGGGGAGACATTGTTGGAAGCTATGCTGGTTGGAGAGGAACTGCCGTTTGAGTTGTTGTCAGAGAATTCTATTAATTCGTTGAGCCCGTTTTCGTCATCACTGCTATCATAAATGCTGTCAAGCTCTTTCCTCAGACTCGTAATCAGAGTGTCTGCATCCTGTGCAGTGTCCTCAACCACCTCATCAATACTTTTGTCTGGTGGATCGTCGGCATCATTATCTGGGAACTCCTCGAGCAAGTCATCCATATTTTGAAAAGAATCGTCTAGATCACCCGACGACATGGCAAGCTCATTATCCATTTCAATCTCATGCTTAATTTCTGTGTCCTCATCATAGTCCGTCGCCAACTCCGTAGGAGACCTGCTGCGATTCTGCAGCAAGTTCTCCTGAGTCTCGATGCAGAGATTTCTGAACGCGATGGCCTGACATAAGTCGTGTAAACAACCCGCGCATATGCAACTGGGAAGCTCCGGATCATTTATGAGCTACAAATTGGAATGAGCATTAGGATTGGGTTACTTGATGGAAAGAACTCACCAAGATCCCAGACACTAATTGGATGTTCAGCAACAGCTTAGAGTTCTTCTTCTGGAATAGATTTTTGGCATTCGTATTGTAGATGACGCCCCCGCAGGCTCGGCATTGCAGCGTCATTTTAAATCTCGTTTCCAACACGTAAAATATGAAAAATAAAATACAATTCAAAACAAACTAAAATCTGCATGTTATTGCAGCTGGTAGGAGTCGACGCGGTGTCATCACTATCGATAACGATACGCGCTATTTCTGCACTGCGAAACTCTGCACAAAACGAAGTAAACAAATCCAATTAAAATATTTTTCTGAAAATGCGCAATAAGATCTGTCGCATTTGCGGTGGCCATGAGGCTTCGATAAACCTGTTCTGCCCAAAAAACGGACACTTGATCCGCCAAATTCTATCCATTACTGGGGTCGGGGTAATGTGTAAAATAAATTATACCTAGACCGTATTTACATGATTATATTAATCTGGCAGCTAAATGAAAAAGCAGGTCTCTCCAGCCATATGTGCGATAAGTGCGTTTTCGACTTGGACTGTGCCATAAAGTTCCGGCAGCGATGCATCATCTCGGAGAAGCGTAATCTGGAAAAAGTCAATTCGGAACCTAAGGATGAGGAGGATGCCGAATCTGATATAGAGTCTAATGAGCTGAACACCGATGAGGAGATATCTGATGATTGTGCTTTGGAATATGAATCAGAAAAATGCACGGAAACGAGCATGAAGCGAAAACACAGCAAATATGCCGAGCCCTATATATGCGATGACTGTGGAAAGACCATCAACAGTTTGAGCAACTTTCAAGAACACAAACTGCGGCATACAGGAATCAAAAATTTCGAGTGTCAGTTCAGGTGAAACATGTTGTTGCAAATAAATGCCACTACACCTGCTAATCGGCTTCCATCTTCATCAGTGAGTGCGGCAAACGTTTCGCCACTCGCAAGGAGTTGGTGCGACACCAGCGCTGCCACACGGGAGAGAAGCCCTTCGTCTGTAGCTACTGCTCCCGTCGATTTTCCGACGCGAGCTCTCGCGAAGAGCACCACAGACGCCACCGGAATGAAAAGCGGTTCGAGTGTAAAACGTGTGGCAAGAGCTTTGTCAGCTCTGGCTGCCTGAGGAAGCACGTGTTAACGCACGCATCAGCTGACGAGCGCAAATATCTGTACGCATTTTAGCCTAAGATCAATGCACATATCATTCTTATTCCAACTTTATTTACTATACAGCTGTGGCGTTTGCAACAAGCGCTTCTTACGCATAGCCCACTTGCAAAATCATTTGACTACCACCACTCACTTGGAAAAGGCTCTGGAGGCATCTCAGACAGTCGTGCATGAAAATAACCCATCAATCACAAGCATTCCTTAGAGATCATTCTATTCTTTATTGACATTTTGTACTGAATTTTTATGTATTTATATTAATAGTATCATATGCGCATAGTATATATATTTTTTCACATATTTTTGGGCCCTTCCACAGCTTTCTGGTAGTCTAACTGCGTCGATGTGTTGATCTAGCATTATATATGCGTAGTATATCTCTTTTTTCGTATAGCATTGGGCCCTTTCACAGCTTGCTGGTGGACTATCGTGGCGAGATGTCTCTCTAGTTGGTGATTACGTGAGAACGTTTTCTTGCAAGGCTCGCATCTGAAATGTCAAAATCCATTACATTTCCAGTCCGAATCATATTGCGGGACTTAAATGCACTTACTGAAAGGTATTTTCCCCCGTTTGATTGTGGACATTCGAAAGATGCAATTTCAACCAATACTTATAGCGGAATGCCATGCCACAAATCTCGCAGGAAAACGTTAAGTGAGTTCTGCAAGATACAAAAAATTCAGTATGATCCTGCCAATCCAACCCCTTTGATCTCTCTCACCTTTCATGATGTTTTCTGTTGCCAGAACTCGAAAAGTGTTTCGAACAGTGCTTACACTTGAATCGTTTATCATCCGTGAGCGTTTCCATAATCACTGGGCAACTAACTCTAGAAGAAATTAAGGATCGATCATGGATCATAAAAACCATTCAGAATGAGTGTGTTTGATCTCTCTCACCTTTCATGACGGTTTCTGATGCCAGGAGTCAAAAATTGTTCCGAACAGGCCTTGCACTTAAATGATTTCTCGACCGTTCTTCCTTTCTTCTTCTTTTTCAGGACTCTAGAGGATCGATCATCGAATACAATTGATTATATACATATTATTAAATTTTTGTTTCATACGCACGCGCATTCAATTGTCTTCTCCGCTAAGCTGCGTTGCTTACTTTCAGTGGGCAAAGAAGTTGGACTATTAGAGTTGGACCCTCTGTTTGAGAGTTTCCGAGGCTGTGATGTCTTATTAGCATCACTTTCGGTGAAATCAACTTCTTCCAACTCCTTTTTCAGACTCGCAATCAGGGAGTCATCAAACTGTACTTTTGCATTATAATCAGCATCCGGTGTTTGGTCGCCGAATTTATTTTCTTCTAGCTCCTTTAGTCGGGATCTCATCGGGGAGTCGCGATCATCAGCGTATATTTGTTGTTTATTCTCTTCCTCGTCTGGCTCCTCTTTCAGACGCGGAGCCAAGGAGTCTGAATTCTCATGCGATTCTGGAAATCCAGAAGACAAGTCTTCCTTCCCATCAAAGGAAACGTGAACATCATCCGAGGGCTTGTCCTCGTCCACATTTGGCATATGCCACTTTGATATTTTGGACGGAGATTTTTCACGACGTTGCTGCTGCAGCAAGTTCGCTTGGGTCCGAATGCGATCTCGGAACGCGATTGTCTGATCCAAATCGTGTAAACAATAAACGCATATGCAGCTGGGAAGACCCGGATCATTCACGAACTACAAATTGCAATGGAGATTAGGCAAAAATCTTATTTTTGTTTGTTGGTTCGAACTTACATTGATCCCACTCACTGCTTGGAGAACCTCCAACATTTCAATGTTCTCCATCTGGAATATATTCGCTGTTGTGCCACATATTGCATTTGCACAACATCGACATTGTTGCGACATTTTTCTATTTTTGTTTATCAACAAAGAAAATAAATTTGCGCGCATGCGCACATCTACACATATGTCAGCTGGTTGTAATCGTTATCGCAGGAACGTCACACCGATAACTACATATGTAGATATGTACACATTTAAATTTAATTGTTTTATTTTCTAAATAAAAAAAAAATCTAAAAATAAATGTCTCGTAAATACGCGTCATAGAGACCGCATTAACTTGTTTGTTCTTGTTTCATCAACATTTAATCAATCTTTAAATACAAATTATTTCATTAAAAACGTTGAACATTGTTAAACGTTCTGAATTGAGAGATGGCCATTCTTCTCAACATTCAGAAACGTTGAGCGCCACTGTATCATTTAGAGCTGTTCAGGTTAAAGATATCAGGTAACTTTTGAGGAAATATGGACTTACAAGAAGAATTAATTATTTGTTATATATATATTTGAACATTTATTTACACATTATCATATATGTTAGTTGAATCTTTAACGAACTAGTATATTTCCGAAGCCCGCATAACCTCGTTTGTCTCGAGCGCTCTCATAGTTTGCTGGTGGGTCATCGTGCCGATGTGTTGCTCAAGCTGGTGCTTACGTGAAAAGGTTTTGTTGCAGGGCTGACACCTGAAATGAAATGGAAAATTCCTTTCCTCTCTCAAGTACATATATCATAGCTGAATTGAAAGTACATACAAGAACGGCTTCTCCCCCGTGTGAGTAAGCATATGGTTCTTTAGCACATTCGAATAAGAGAAGGACTTGCCACAAGTTCCGCAGGCAAAGGGCCGTTCATTTGTATGAGTCCTGCAAGATAAGCAATGGTAATAGTAATAGCCTGCCGCCTTCGGCATCCAGTCCTCTTACCGTTCATGCCGTATGTTGGAGCTTCGATCCGCGAACATGCGGGCGCAGTATTTACATCTGAATGGCTTCTCGCCCGTGTGCACTCGTATATGGCGATTTAGCTCCGAGGGACCGGCAAACGTTTTACTGCAGATTCTGTGGGAAATGGTCAATCAATCAATCATACAATAAAAAATTTGACTTGTGTGTTTATACGCACTCGCATTCAAAAGGCTTCTCCGCCATGTGACGGCGCATGTGAATGTTGAGGGCTGCTCTTTTGGAGTAGATGTTTCCACAGATTTCGCACATGATATTTGTGGGCTCTTCGCTGGACTTGTACACACCGTTTGCTTTTTCCTGACCATTTTCCGGTGTGGTGTTCCGTGGTCGCCCACGACCGCGTTTGGCGAGGCGTGTTTTGCGGATCTTGGGCTTGCGGAGACGCTCACTCGGATCGTAGTCACTATCGCTGGCGTTTTCTATCAGCAGGTCATTTTCATTAAGCTCCTCCACCACATTATTTATGTCGTCGTCGTATGAGGTTTCAGCATCTGCAATTCCATCCTCCAAACGCTCTTCAAGCATTGTGTCTAGTTCAATATCCCCATCGGCCTCAATGAATTCGCTTGCTGCCTCGTAGATATATTCAATGTGATGCATTTCTATGCTCGTGGAATCGTCTGTAGGTTCGGATTTCATCTCCGCCTTAAGGAAACCAAAGAATCTGTGTGACTCGGCATTGCAAGTATACAAAAAAAATACCTTGACAACATTGTTGGAAAAAGCTCGCTCGCTCGCCTGGATCAATTCCCGAAATTTGTGCGAAATCGTAAGCCGCTCCACGCAACTAAAGCACAGCATGCTTGTCATGTCCTGAAGTGGGGCTAGCTGTAAATATGTAGGAAGTAGTTGCCGTCAAATTGGGGGCTTTCGTCCACACACGTACCTTGATGCTGCCAACTTCTTCAATTTTGCGCACGAGCTCTGGGCACTCGATATTCTGCTCGTCGAATAGGATCGTCATTCCGTCCAAACTTAAATCTTCTGTTAAACAGATCCTACAAAGCATGTACTCGGGCATATTTCTTGAAATATACTCCAAGTGTTTTGCAATAAAAAATAAACAAGCGTCTTGTCCTCCAACTTTTCACTGCCTTTTTGGTTTTTTGCATATATGGGCACACTGCCGAAAATCAGCTCTTTGACTTTTAACCCATTAAGGACCTATTTAAGTGATCCAATAACACTGTGTGTGAACATTTAACTCTATACCTGATAATAATTATTATTGTTTTCACAACATCTGTCAGTTGCGCCTGTCATCTGTCATGTTTGCAGATGAGTGTTAAATCTTTTCTACTCCATTAGTGACAACCGAAGCTGTCTGAAATGATTGTGCGGTATAGAATTGTCGGAGGTACTACAATACGCAGTGGCCATCAATGGGCTAAGTGCGTCGTCATACAGCCACACCAAAATAAAGAACCTGGACTAGCATATTTGAAACGGATTAATCGAGCAAACCAGGCCACAGGGCACGAAAGAATTATCAATAATGGAGATCAGCATCAAGTGGAGCATGTGTAGAACGTGCAAAAGCGAGGAAACGACAAATCTGCAGTCGCTGTTCAATTCTGATGCCCCCAAGTATTTGAACGAGTATGCGGGGCTCAATGTGAGTACGCGACGCTAAAATTAGCAACATTTATTTCTTATGCTTTCTGTTCTGTGTGTTTTAAGGTGGTTCTGGACGATGGCTTGCCTGATAAAATATGCGCAGCATGCATTCACATGTTGGAGGAAGTGCACAAATTTGTCACCACCTGCAAGCAGGCCGATGAGCAGCTTAAAAGTCTCGTACGCCAGGCAATGTCCTCGTCGGTGTTTAAAATACCCACAAGTACAGAGGCCGTCGTTGAAAAGCGAAGGCGTGCGAGGAAACAAATGATATTAGAAAGACAGGAGGAGGATCACAAAATTGAGTATCCCGGGGACAGTATTTTAACAGACGAATCAAGTCTGGACGACGGAATTGAAACCCCCGTTGAATTATCACAAGATTCGCCTACAGTGCAAGACTCGCCTGCAGCTATTTCACATATGAACGAGTCTTCTGAAGAAAATGCAGGCTATCTGACCTCCACAGACAGCATAGAATACAAAATAAACGACCAGGCTAATGGGGACGTTGCATTATGCATTAACGTGGGCTCATATGAAGATTATCTCGCAGAAAACGACAATGCACAGGATAATTCTACAATAAAGCCGCAACCTTCCACCGAATATGAAATAGATCTCGCAGTAGCCTGTGTTCCGGAAAGACACAGGTGCATTGTCTGCAGCAACACCTACAACAGTTCGTCAAAGTTAGCTGACCACATGCGCACCCACCTAAACGAGCGATCATACGAATGCGAGTAAGTCTCTTCCAGATGAATAATATAAAGCGCAGCCAAAATAACACAAGATATCTTTTAGAGTTTGCTTCAAACGCTTCAGCGCCAGCTGTAACCTGAACACACACATCAGAACCCACACGGGGGAGAAGCCTTATAAATGTGAACATTGCTTGCGATGCTTTGCCGATCGCAGCACACATCGAAAGCACGAACGGTAGGATGCGTCCAGCGCTCCATGGAAATTATCGCTAATGCTTATGTGGGTTTTCAATTTCAGGATGCACACGAATGAGCGACCATATGCCTGCCACATTTGCGAAAAAACCTTTGCCCTATCCTCCACCCGAAAGGCACACGTTCTAACGCACTCGAAGGAAAAGGCCCACGCATGTTTAAAATGCAACAAAAAATTCCGCTTGCCGCACCAGTTAAAAGCCCACCTAAACACTCACGCACATATGATGATGCAAATCGAGGATCGTGATCCCTCGTCATAGCCAGAAAATACAAATCGAAATCAAAGGTTCTCCTATACTTTTAGCTTATATTGCACTCTTAAAAATAGTTTGTCTTAAAAAAAGCAAAGTATCCTAGAGCTTAAGCTAGTCCGTGTAGTCCGTGGAATTAGCCATTGCCTGTTCCTCCATGTTTCTGTGGATTATCGTCTGCTGATGGGCCTTCAACTGGTGCATCAGGGTAAAGGACTTAGAGCATACTGCGCAACTGAAATCGGAGAAAACCATGTTTTCATTAGACAAAATGACACTCTTTACTGCGGTGCGGTGCTCTATTACTTGTAGTTCTTTTCGCCGGAATGCACCAGACTGTGGTTCTTGAGGATGGCTGGGTGCGTAAAGGCCTTGCCGCACTCCTTGCACTCGTAAGGTCGAGTGTTGGTATGGACTCGCTCATGGCGCACCCTTTCGCTGCGGTCGTAAAAGTGACGCTCGCAATACATACACTTGTACGGTCGTTCGCCCGTGTGACGACGAATGTGGGCCCGTAGCTCTCCCATTTGGCGGAACGATTTGTCACATATTCTACAAAGAGACATGGTTAGGAAGATGACATGGTAGGACAGTGCCTTCTTTCTTACTCGCACTGGTGGGGCTTGTAGTCGGCATGGGCCATCATGTGTGAGGTAAAGATAGACTTTTTATGATATACGTTGCCACACAGGCTACATATGAATTTCGTAGGCAAGCGTTTAAACTCTGTTTCTGGTTCCCCAGGATTTGTATTCTTGCGCTTGCATTTTAGTTCATTGTCTGGCTTGCGGGGCCTACCTGGCCGGCGTTTGTTCTGGGCAGTGCTGGGCTTCGGTTCTGGCGATGGTGTTGGCGACAGAAAGTCTATATTACTGTCATCAAAATCATCAACATCGCAGTAGTCCTCATTCACTATGGGAGAGTCCTCGACTATTTGACCATCGTCGACGGGCTTGATGGTTTCATCCGCAACTAGATCTTGATCAAATGGTTGAACGTTTACAACCATAATTTCCTCAGCTTGTTCCTTCGGATGGTCGTCGGCATCGGTGACTGGCTCATTGGCCACAAGCTCTTCATTATCAGTGACATAGTTGACACCGTCGAGAATCTCTTGATACTGCGCAGTTATATCGTCCAATTCTTCCTGGGGGCTGTCATCCTGGTACTGATTTTCAAGGCCACAATTGACTTGAAGGTTCTGGTACATGTGTTTCATAAACTCGCTATTGCTGACTTGCTTGAAATCCTCGGCCTGCTCGCCATCCGAGAAGCATGTCTCCAAATAAACTTGCGAATTAAGAACCATTGTGCGAAATCTAAACCACATGTGAACGAATTCACGGCACTTGCTGCACACCTTCGATGGCAGCCGATGAGAGTTGCGAATCTGTACAAATTTTAGATGATGGAAAATTGTATTATAGTTCGTAATTGCTGATTTGCCTACCTTTATCCCGCAACAGAACTGAAACTTTTCACTGAGATCTTCATTCCCGGCGTCCTCTGCATCCACATCCGCCTCGTCTGCTTCAAACAAAGCACTCATTGTCACCTCTTCGAACTCTCCCAAGCATGTTCTGCATTTTAGTTTCACTGCAGACGCTGCATTTGCATCCATCGTGCCCCAATAGATGCCAAAAGATCAATTTTTGGGGATAACAACTGTGTTTTGGATGCTAGTGATCAGTGTGACCGCGGAAATATCGCAGATCGAACATACGGTCTGACCCTCAGAAATATACCGAAACATACCGCCTCATTTTTAAAATATACCGTAAATATACTGACGAATTCAAGTGATATTTTGCATATTCCTCGTTTTTGATATTCCGACGAATATTACCAGCTATATAGAACATTTAGGTATGCCATCATAATTGTATCCCATTGATGAATAAATTTTCTACAAGATTGGATAGTTTTCAATCCTTGCTTTTATTGTATTTATTGTAAAAAAGGTTTAAACGAAAACGAGGTCCTTACCCGATTCAAGTTCGGGTATTGATACTATCGACTGGTTACGAGTGGTGCGCGCCACATATAACTTTTTTGAATATGAGCGACAAGGATTTAAATGTTGTCAACCGGGCCATTACCGATTCAACAAATACGACGATTCCCTCAATTTTGATCTTCCGTCGAATATCAGCTATATGGGTCAGCTCTCCGTTGTGACGAACGCGTAGATGACTGTCCCGCAAGTACGAGTTGTAGAATTTCTTGAAACATTTCGGGCACTCAAATTTCTTGACGCCGCTGTGACGAAGCATATGCATCTGTAGGTGGCCAGCGATACGAAAAGCGTGTCCACACTGCTCGAAGACGTAGCTCAGGGGTTTGGATCGTAATTGTTCCCGCCGCCTAAGATTCTTTTCCTCATTGGTTAGCTTGGATCGTTTTGGCCTTGGCGTTTGGATCTTTTGTTCGATAGGCCTGTACAACACACTGAATGCATCCGATGATACTACTGTTTGAAGCTCCACTGTGGGTTCGGTTGGGCACGGACCATCGCCTGCTGGTCCACACAGTTCCTTCTGATAGCTTAGCGGATATTCTATATCCGAAAGTAGCTCCGACTCTGAAAAGCCTTCGTTTTGCTCCGTTGACTGTTCGTATAATACATTCTCCAACTCAGTTTCCATTTCCTCAGTTTCTATATCGGTGTTCTGGGCTTCTTGGGTGAGCTTGAATTCAGTTGTCATGCAGTTCTCCCGGAACTCAATGGCTTTCTGCAGGGTTTCCTGGCATTGGGGGCACATGTGATGAGGCATACCCTGCAGTCCCCTTATCTACAATAAGTTAAAAAGATAAAGCCGATTGATTATGTGAATTTTATGCGTACCCAGACTCCAGTTATTGCCTCTATGTGGTACAACAGGGCACTGTTCCTCTGATCATAAAGATCTTTAGGGGGGAGCCAGGAAGTCTGATCAATTGGTTTTGGCTTTTGGTTTTGTTTTGATATCTATCTAAACGGCAATTTATTTAAGCGCGAATGTTTCAACATGTTTTAAATGTTTCACCCCACACACGGATCACGGATACTTTATTAACTACTTGTTGCATTACGTATCCTCGTCCGTAACGACATCTATCTGAATTTTGTTCTGATCCTGACCAACTTTTTTAATATGCAACTTCGAACGGTTGTGGGTCTGTAAGCTGGATTTGCGGTTGAAGTATACGTCGCAGGTCTCGCAGCTGTGGATAAACATGTATGATAAAATATAAAGTGAAAATATATCGCCGCATTTCAACTTACTGGAACGGCTGTTCCCCAGTGTGTACGATCTCATGCATCCTCAAGGCTCTCTTAAGTTGAAAGGCTTTTCCGCAAACATGGCAGACGTGAGGTCGGATATCTGGGCACTCTTTGTGTTGCCTGAGAAAAAACAAGATTTGGTTGGTCTGACACTCATTGGACCCCACACAGTTACCCACCTTTCATGCCTTAAACGTTTTATGCAGTTGTCAAAGCGCTGTCCACAGTACTTGCAAGTGTACGGCAGCTCTCCTTTATGTTTTACTCGTATGTGCAGGCTCAAAAGGTGCATAGTAAACTCCTTGCGACCACACTCCTCACATTCAAACTGCTTGACGCCTGTGTGGCGCGTCAAATGTACATTAAGATTGCTTTTATCTTTGAACCATTTCCCGCATTGGTCGCAGCAAAAACCACCAATGGCTCTTCTATATCGCTTCTTGGCAATATTCTTTTCAGGTTTTATAACTGGATCAACATCTGATTTTCTGGATCCACGAAATACCCCTTTCTTAGGAACAGAGCACGAATCTAACCGTGACTTACGACTTGACAAAGGCCTTTTACTAACTTTGTCTTCATCATGATCTTCCTCGTCAAGGACAAGCTCAGCATCCTCATTTATCAGGGGGTCGAAGTCCAAAAGCTCATCATGAAACTCTCCATTATTATCTATTTTCTCAGATTGTTCTTTCACGGCTCTTTTGAGCATATTTGATGGATTCCGCTGACGACACGACGAAACTTTCTTGTAAAATGCATCTGATTTACCATGATGGCTCAAAGGACTTGCTGGCTTTAATTCCTCACACAGAGTTTCAATTTCCACTGTGAAATATTCCTTAGTTTCATCTGGCTTCGGTGCTTTATCGTTACTAATTAAGGGGTCCATGTGCACTGCGTCATCAGCCCTTTTGAAATCAGCATCGTGTGTTTCGTACCAAAGGTTGTTTGTCCTTATACAAAGATCTCTGAATGCCATGGCTTCATTTGACTGTTGCAGACAGGAGGCGCATATATGTGATGGAAATCCTACCCTGTTAGTAAGCTGAAATTTAACTCGATTTAATGTTTATATGAATGAATTCTACGGCCTCATTTCTACCCAGATGCCTGTCAGTTTGAGGATGTCGTTCAATATGTCGTTTCCATTCTCGTCAAAGAGTTTCCTTGGATTTACTGCATGCTCCCCGCAAGTTCGACACAGAAGCGCCATTTCGGGACTTTCTCTCTAAATTAAAGAAGTTTATTATGTTTTATTTTGTTTTTGTTCTGTTAAAGTCCGCTAACAATGTGACTGGCACTTGCCGCAAACGCGTTGCATTGTGACTGCTGCTAAGGCCATTCGCAAAATAACATATTTTTTATCGTATTTTCTGAATCCATTCGTCAATCAATACAATAAAAATACTTCATATCGTCTTATTTTATATTTAATGTAGCACGAGTATTTGGATTCAATGGATAAAATATCCATTAACATTACTATTTCGGCCTCAGTATTTGTTTCTTTTCAGTCTTCCTTTTCTGCGCAAATGTGGAATCATTTAAAAATAAGCCACACACAATCAAGGGCAATTTTTTTGTTTCATTAAGAATCCTCGTCCGTAAATAGATCTATCTGAATTCTGGTCCGATCCTGTCCAACTTTTTTAATATGCAACTTCGAGCGGTTGTGTGTTTTTAAGCTGGAGTTTTGGTTAAAGTAAACGTCGCAGGTCTCGCAGCTGTGGAAAAACACGTTTAAATAAATGTAAAGTGTAAATATAAGGTTTACTTTAACTTACTGGAATGGCTGTTCGCCCGTATGCACGATCTCATGCCTCTTCAACTCTGCCTTACGGGTGAAGGCCTTTCCGCATACAGGACAGACGTGAGGTCGAGTATCCGGGCACTCCTTGTGTTTTCTCCTGAGGAAAATGCAAACTGTGGTTGGTCTGACACTAGACCCTATGCAATTACCCACCTTTCATGATTTAAACGTTTTATGCAGTTGTCAAATCGCTGTCCACAGTACTTGCACGAGTACGGTAGCTCTCCTTTATGTTTTACTCGTATGTGCAGGCTCAAAAGGTGCATAGTCAACTCCTTGCGACCACATTCCTCGCACTCAAACTGCTTAACGCCAGTGTGCCGCTTCAAATGTACATTAAGATTGCATTTATCCTTAAACCATTTGCCGCATTGGTCACAGTAAAAACCACGAGTGGATCGATACCGTTTTTTCTTTGGTAAAGGATCAAGATTTGATTTTCTGGAACCACGCAATACTCCTTTTGTAGTAACCGAGCAGGAATCTAATCGTGACTTAGGACTTGACAGAGGACTTGGTATATCATTGATTTCATCATTATTCTCCTCTTCAACGACAACCGCAGCATCCTCCTCATTTATCAGGCGGTCCAAGTCTAAGAGGTTGTCAAAAACCTCTCTATCATTAGCTATATGATATTGTTCACTTTGACGATTCGACGAGCCATGAGGGCTCAATGGACTTGCTGGCTGTATTTCCTCATACAGAGTTTCGATTTCTACTTTAACATATTCTTTGTTTTCCTTAGGTATTGCCGCTCCCTCATTTCCCATTAGGGGGTCCGGGTGCACTGCGTCAGTTGTTTTGGAATCGGCAGTTGCGTACCAATGTTTGTTCGTCCTTATACACAATTCTCTGAATCCCATGGCTTCATTTGTCTGTTGCAGACAGGAGGCGCATATATGTGATGGAAATCCTGTCCTGTTAGTAAGCTAAAATTTAACTCGATTTAGTGTTTGTATCAATATACACACATCCATAGGTGATTTCCACAGCCTCATTCCTACCCAGACGCCTGTCAATTTGAGAATGTCTTTCAATATGTCGTTTCCATTCTCGTCAAAGAGTTTCCTTGGATTTACTGCATGCTCCCCGCAAGTTCGACACAGAAGCGCCATTTCGGGACTTTCTCTCTAAATTAAAGAAGTTTATTATGTTTTATTTTGTTTTTGTTCTGTTAAAGTCCGCTAACAATGTGACTGGCACTTGCCGTAAACGCGTTGCATTGTGACTGCTGCTAAGGCCATTCGCAAAATAACATATTTTTTATCGTATTTTCTGAATCCATTCGTCAATCAATACAATAAAAATACTTCATATCGTCTTATTTTATATTTAAAGTGGCACGAGTATTTGGATTCAATGGATAAAATGTCCATTGACCCATGCACTGAAGTCTAACGTGCCAACATTTACAAGTATTAGAATATTTTTGTTTGGAACTATTATTTTGGCCACAGTATCTATTTTTTCTTCAGTTTATTTTAATGCGCGAATGTTGAAACATTTAAAAATAAGCCACACGAACACACACAATCAAGAGTAATTTTATTTACTACTTCTTGAGTTGGTTATCTTCATCCGCTAATACATCTATCTGAGTTTTGGTCTGATCCTGTTCAACTTTTTTAATATGTAGCTTCGATCGGTTGTGGGTTTGTAAGCTGGATTTTCGGTTAAAGAATACGTCGCACGTCTCACAGCTGTGGAGAAACATTTATGAACAATTTTATTGTGTAAAGATAAGCTGTACATTAACTTACTGAAATGGCTGTTCCCCCGTGTGCACAATCTCATGCCTCCTCAAGGCTGCCTTAAGTTGGAAGGCTTTTCCACAAACAGGACAGACGTGAGGTCGAATATCTGGAAACTCCTTGTGATGCCTGAGGAGAATACAATCTGTTGTTAGTCTGAGCACTCACTAAATTCTATGCAATTACCAACCTTTCATGATTTAAACGTTTTATGCAGTTGTCAAATCGCTGTCCACAGTACTTGCAAGTGTACGGCAGCTCTCCTTTATGTTTTACTCGTATGTGCAGGCTCAAAAGGTGCATAGTCAACTCCTTGCGACCACATTCCTCGCACTCAAACTGCTTAACGCCAGTGTGCCGCTTCAAATGTACATTAAGATTGCATTTATCCTTAAACCATTTGCCGCATTGGTCGCAGTAATAACCACGAGTGGATCGATACCGTTTTCTCTTTGGTAAAGGATCAACATTTGATTTCCTGGAACCACGCAATACTCCTTTTGTAGTAATAGAGCAGGAATCTAATCGTAACTTAGGACTTGACAGAGGACTTGGTATATCATTGATTTCATCATTATTCTCCTCTTCAACGACAATCGCAGCATCCTCCTCATTTATCAGGAGGTCCAAGTCCAAGAAGTCGTCATGAACATCTCCATCATTAGCTATATTGTCTTGTTCACTTTGACGATTCGACGAGGCATGAGGGCTCAACGGACTTGCTGGTTTTACTTCCTCATACAGAGTTTCAATTTCCACTTTAACATATTCTTTGTTTTCCTTAGGTATTGCCGCTCCCTCATTTCCCATTAGGGGGTCCGGGTGCACTGCGTCAGTTGTTTTGGAATCGGCAGTTGCGTACCAATGTTTGTTCGTCCTTATACACAATTCTCTGAATCCCATGGCTTCATTTGTCTGTTGCAGACAGGAGGCGCATATATGTGATGGAAATCCTGTCCTGTTAGTAAGCTGAAATTTAACTCGATTTAGTGTTTGTATCAATATACACACATCCATAGGTGATTTCCACAGCCTCATTCCTACCCAGATGCCTGTCAGTTTGAGGATGTCGTTCAATATGTCGTTTCCATTCTCGTCAAAGAGTTTCCTTGGATTTACTGCATACTCCCCGCAAGTTCGACACAGAAGCGCCATTTCGGGACTTTCTCTCTAAATTAAAGAGGTTTATTATGTTTTATTTTGTTTTTGTTCTGTTAAAGTCCGCTAACAATGTGACTGGCACTTACCGCAAACGCGTTGCATTGTGAGTGGTTCAGACAAACAAACGACAACAAATTTTGCAAAAAAGCCATTTTATATCGTATTTTCTCAATCCAGTTGACAATAAAATGGTTATTTCATTTTTAATGTAGCAAGGACATTTCGACTGAATGAATAAAATGTGCATTGAACAAACCCATTGGTTATGCCCAGTTTAAGAAGTACTTAGGGAAACGACTGCAGTTCGGTTTAACGTGCGAACGTTTTCCAATATTTTTACATCACAGCTTCGATTGATTGCTTTGGTCTCAGATTTTGCTTTTTCTGCAGTGTTCTTTTAATGCGCGAATGTTCACAAATTTAAAACTAACCCATTAAAGAGGGTAATTTATCTTCCCCCAAGATGGAAATGCTTAATTGAACTGACTACTTTTAGATTTTCATCTAACAAGCATGACCATCCAGGGTAAAACCTGTCGCGTTATGTACCCTCGTCCATAATTTCATTTATCTGAGATTCCTGTTCAACTTTCTTAATGTGCAGCATCGATCGGTTGTGGGTTCGTAAGCTAGATTTGCGGTTAAAAGATACGTGGCAAGTCTCGCAACTGTGGATAAACATTTACAAATATACTGTGCAAATATAATATGTATTTCAACTTACTGGAATGGTTGTTCACCCGTGTGTACGAGCTCATGACGCTTCAAGGATAACTTTCGTTTGAAGGCTTTTCTACAAACATGACAAACGTGAGCTCGAGTATCTGGGCACTCATTGTGTGTTGTCCTGAGGAAAATGCAATCTGTGGTTGGTCTGACAATCACTAGACTCTATGCAATTACCCACCTTTCATGCCTTAATCGTTTTGTGCAGTTGTCAAAGCCTTGTCCACAATGCTTGCATGAGTATGGCAGCTCCCCATTATGTTTTATCCTCATGTGAAGGCTCAATAGGTGCATAGTAAACTCTTTGCGACCACATTCCTCGCATTCAAACTGCTTGACGCCTGTGTGCCGCTTCAAATGTACGTTAAGATTGCTTTTATCCTTGAAGCATTTTCCGCATTGGTCGCAGTAAAAACCCCGAATGGATCGATACCGGTGTTTCTTTGCCAGTGGATCAATATTTGATTTTCTGGAACCACGCAGTAATCCCTTCTTAGGAGCAGAGCTCGAATCTAATCGTGACTTGCGGCTTGACAAAGAACTGCCTTTATCTTTGACTTCATCAGGATTTTCCTCCTTAGGGACAACCCCAGCATCCTCATTTAAAAGGGGGTCGAAATCCAAAAGCTCATCTTGAAACTCTCCATTGTTATCTATTTTCTCAGACTGTTCCTTCGATTCTTTTCTGCGAGTATATGGTTCCCTGTGATGTTGCGACGAAGTAAGATGGCTTAAAGGACTTGAATTATTTCTTTCTTTCCACACAGTTTCGATTTGCACTTTGGCATATTCGTTGTTTTCCTCAGGTATCGCCGCCTCATCATATTCCATTAGGGGGTCCAGGTTCAGTGGTTGGTCAGCTGGTTTGGAATCTGCAGATATGTACCAAAGTTTGTTGGTCCTTATACACAATTCTCTGAATGCCATGGCATCATTTGAATGTTGCAGGCAGGAGGCGCATATATGTGATGGAAATCCTGTCCTGTTAGTAAGCTGAAATTGAATTCGTTGTAGTGTTTGTATCAATATACAGACATATGTACATAGGTGCGTTTGAATGTTTTGCACGGAGTCATTCCTACCCAGATGCCAGTCAGTTTGAGGAGGTTGTTCAATATGTCGGTTCCATTCTCGTCAAAGAGTTTCCTTGGATTTACTGCATGCTCCCCGCAAGTTCGACACGGAAGTGCCATTTCGGGCCTTTCTTTTGTCTAAATGAAATAATATTTATTCTATTTTATGTTTTACACGACTCGATATATTGATATCGATGTATCGAGATACCCCATAATGACGAGTATTTTGAATATATAGTATAGCTACTTGACATCTTGTTTCAAAGCGCTCAACAAAAAAAAAAGGAAATGGAGCCTCTTGCTCAGAGCGAGAGCGAGTGTATATGCCCTTTTCGGTCGTGTTAGTAAAGAATAAAACGGTCAACTGTTATTTGCAAGCTATGATATAGGTACTGGAAGAGGTACGCAAGAGATGCAGATACAGTCAGAAGAAATTTCACTCGTCACCGAAGGAACAGAAACCTTTGATTTCAGTCATTCTCCAATATTGTTCCTTTTTGATGTTTTTCCCCCGATTCGCAGGGGCGTGGGCGTTTCTGTGCGTAGCCGTGAGTAACGTACTAAAACCCTGCTCTAATCATACTTCAATGAACAACTGTTATACGCAGAGGGTTGCGCGTTGTGGAGGAGGTCCAGTGCCCTGAACCTGGTGAAGGCAATAGCGCCAGGCCATAGCTAAGGAGCAGAACACATCTGCGACTCATGAGGACGACGACATCTCCAGATTGAGTTCCACGATCTCAGGCAGCTATGTCTATATAGCCAGAGTAACTGCTTATTAAGAAACCTCGGAGGCTCAAGATTAATAACTAACATTAATAAACTATGTATGAGGTAACTTATTCTTGGCAATATCGTTATTTTCAAAACAAAACGACCAATATTTCCACTTATCGCACAAAAAAATCGCCCGCAAATGATCAACAAAGAAGATATATCGATATATTGATATATATATATACCTTATAATGACGTGGATGTGAAAAAATACCAGTAAATTGCCGACACACACAATGACGACGACAATATCTCCAGATAGAGTTCCTCGATCTCAGGCGATCTCTGCAAAACGACCAATATTTCCACTTATCGCACAAAAAAATCGCCCGCAAATGATCAACAAAGAAGATATATCGATATATTGATATATCGATATACCTTATAATGACGTGGATGTGAAAAAAAGAACAATAAATTGCCGACACACACAATAGTGTTTTCAAATTAGGAAATAAAGCTGCAAGGGATTAACAGTTGCAGTTATATATATAGTTAGAAATTATTGAATAACAGCAAGGAGGCATTGAGAACTGAGCACAGTTCAATCTACACAACTGACAGTCGCAAAAACTCGTACTAGGGGAGAGAACACGAAGAAGAAGCAGGGGCAGAACAAGACGACGACGAAAGAGGCAGAGGAGGAACGGAACGTCTCGGCAATGAAATAATTAGTGACTTAGAACGCGCTGTGTTGCCTATTTTGTGTTTAGTTAGCCTCTACTTTTTTCCACTTCGAGCCAAATCGATAACGCAGCATCGTAGCACAATTTGAAGCTGTACGTCAAAGTAAACAAGAACGTGGACGAAACACGACCGCACCGATTAATGGGGAGGGAGTAGAGCGGTGCTGTAGCAACTATGATGAATGAAGACAGCAGTGCCACGATGTCATCGTCATCTGGCGGTGGCGGCGGCATTAAGAAGGTGTTTCAACGCCTCTCACAGGTGAGTGGTGGCACCCAAGGCAATCGAACGTCCATAAACATATATGACTTCTTTGCAGACTTATCAGTCAACACTTGATCGCTCTACGCCGCACACGCGACTACGTTGGGTGTTCGCTGGCTTTGTACTCCTGCTCTTCGTGCTGCGCATTTTCATATACCAAGGATGGTACATCATCTGCTATGCGCTGGGCATCTATCATCTGAATCTGTTTATAGCATTTCTAACGCCAAAAATCGATCCAGAATTCGATCCCTATGCACAGGACGACGAAGACGACGGGCCGAATCTGCCGACGCGCAGCAATGAGGAATTCCGTCCCTTCATACGCCGCCTGCCAGAGTTCAAGTTCTGGCTGTCGGTGACAAAGAGTACGGGGATCGGTCTGTTCTGCACGTTTTTCGACTTCTTCAACGTACCCGTCTTTTGGCCCATACTGGTCATGTACTTCATCACGCTGTTCTGCATCACGATGAAGCGACAGATCAAACATATGATCAAATTCAAGTACTTGCCCTTCACACGCAATAAGCCACGTTATCAAAGAGTTAACGACCTGGCGGGCACCAACTCAGTGGCGGGCAACTCAAAGTGACAATTAGCCGCACAGACGCCGGAGACACGGACAGCAGCGGACGAAGCAGTTGCCACTGCAATTGCAACACCAAGTGCTGCTGCTGCCCTAGCAACAACATCAACTAGCGACAACGCAGCGACCAAGGATGTGGGGTCGCCAACAGTGGGAGGAGGGTCCATTAAACCACCGCAAATCATTGCAATTGAGGACTACTAGAGAAAGCTACCAACCAATCAACACACACAACACCAATCCAAGAGAACCAAGAGAATCCACAATCTAAACCCAAAATTAAGTTCAGCATTCGGCATGTAATCGTGAAATAATTTCTTTTGGTTTGCGTAGCATTTTTCTTCTTTACTATTGAGTTGTCGCACGGCGTCTTGTGCAACATTAAGGCCTTTGTTTAATTATTTCTTGTATACATATTTTAATTTCATTGGCAATCCAGCCGGATACCCAAAAATCACTAAAGTCTAACTACTATATAATTTAAAATTCAAACCCTAATCCTAAAGCATAATTTTACAAATTCTCCTTCTATCCAAATGTAGAATTAACGTATTGAGAGCCAATAATAATTCTTTGATTATCAGATGCTTAGATGCTATACCACTGTATGTTTACAAATATATATAACAGCCTACCAGCATATATGTATTTATATAATTTGCATTATAATTATACAACAATTTTTGTTTAGCGTTAACTATATACAAAATGTTAAAAGGCGGAATGAAAAACGGAACTAAAGGAAGAGTGTAAAACTGGGTGCGTCTTATGAATAAAGGAAGACAAAGAAAACTAAACTCAAATATGTGCATATCTTGACCTATTTTCAAAGGTTGCTTATCGTTGGGGCGCAGAGGGAGTCTACAGAGAGTGGTCTACAAGTGGCCAATGGGTTTATCTTATCAAGAACAGCCGGCAAACCATGGTGACTCTTGGTTTTCGTTGCCGATTACATGCCTTAAAAGTATTAAATACGTATTGTCCGTCATTACATGTAATATTTATCAATTTAATAGAACATTTTGTTGTATTTTAATTACATATTAAATTCCCCTGAAACGTGCGTTGAACATTAACAAGACTAGAACTATATAAGAAAATGTGGGTTATAGAACAATTCGATTACATTAATACTCGTTTGATGTGCTACTAAAGTGGCTGAAGTCAGGCGATATTTGGAATAGTAGTTGCCTAAACATGCGCCATGCAATGTTAGAAATACAACAATAAGTGTTTAAATGTACGATCCACAGGGAGATAATGGAAATAAAATCACTTCGATTCCACTTTATCGCCAGCCCGATCCTCCTTGGCGCATTTCCGTATGATGCTATTGAAGTACTTGTGCAGGCCATAGCCGACCAAACGCAGTGGACCTATGACCAAGGCGTGCAGGAGATTTGTGAAGAAGCCATCCCAGGGCAGCAGACCGCCGCCCAACATGGTAATCAGCCAGCTCTCTGCGCCCACAGTCGAGATAAAGTTGCCCTTCTGCACGAAAAAATGCAATGCAAAAATGCAAAGATATGAGATACAGTTTCAACGAAATAAAAAAATAAGGATGTCTCACCAAGGCATCCTGGAGAATGGCTTTGGCCATGTCCTCCGGCTTCAGAAGACCTCCACCGCCCGAAATGATCTTCGTTTCGCGTGGCTTGGACTTCTCCTCCTCCTCAAACCCTGGGGTGTTTGTGTCACAGGGCAAGGCCAAGGTGACACTGACGCCGTGCTCTCTGGACTCCATTGCGATCGTTTCGGCCATGGCTCGCAGCGCGTATTTACTGGCTGCATACGGTCCATAGCCATAGATGCCGAACATGGCGGCCTGCGATGAGGTAATCACAATAATGCCCTCCCTCGCCCGCTTCATCTTGGGCAGGACGTGGCGGGTACAGTTGTAGCTGCCAAAGAAGTTGACATTCATCAGCTTGTGGACATCCCGAACAGAAACTTCCTCGAAGACTCCGCAAATGGCCATGCCCGCACAATTGAGCAAGGCGTAAATGGGGCCAACAGTTTCCTCGGTCTCAGCCAGCACGCGAGCCACTTCCTCATAGTCTCCACCAATGTCCAGGCTGCGGTACTGAATCTTTTGATCCGCTCGCTGGCGCACAAGCTCCAACTGGTCCACGGCCGCTTCTGCGGAACGATAAGGGTATAGGGTGTGGTTCTCCACTATTTTGAGCGAAAATTACTTACTGAGCCTTTTTTCGTCACGCGCTATAATCGTAACATGGGCTCCCTTCGTGACGCATTCCATGGCCAGGCAGACCCCAATGCCGCTCGAGCCGCCGGTGACCACGACATGGCGTCCATCGATGCTCTTGGCTCTCTTTTTCATTACAAAAACGTAGACTATACTGTGTGCTAGCACCACAAGGCCGAGGGAGACAATAATGTCCCAGCTGAATTCCATGATAACGAGCCGAAACCATTCGAATCCACCAACAAATTTTGAGATAATGGCATTTATCATGGGCATTTAAATCCACCCATCGGCCCTTAATGGGTTAATTTCTAGGGAAAGTTTGCTCTCAAAACATCGATGTAGCAACCATCGATGTTTCTACAGCTCTAGGCCCTGGTCGTCACATGGGTTTTGCAACAGATTGGCAGCCCCCCCAACGAATTTATTGTTATTCCGACTAAAATACGAATTTTAACAAAATCATGCCACCAAAGAAGGACGCCAAGGGTGGCAAGGATGCCGGTAAAGGCGGAAAGAAGCCAGCAGCGGAAGATAAGTGTGAGTAGGATTGTCGGCAACCATTGAATGTGCAACTGGATCAAGAGAAATCCACTCCCACCCACAGCTGCCGGCAAGGAAAAGAAGGGAGGCAATGCCGTCAAGGTGCGCCACATTCTGTGCGAGAAGCAGGGCAAGATTATGGAGGCAATGGAGAAGCTAAAGGCTGGCCAAAAGTTCCCCGAGGTGGCCACCGCCTACAGCGAGGACAAGGCACGTCAGGGCGGCGACCTGGGCTGGCAGATTCGCGGTGCGATGGTGGGTCCATTCCAAGACGCCGCCTTCGCCCTGCCCATATCGAATGTCAACAATCCCGTGTACACAGATCCCCCGGTCAAGACCAAGTTTGGCTATCACATCATAATGGTAGAGGGAAAAAAATAAACACCGATTTTACAGATTTTATAAATCAAATTTTAATGAGTGCACAGCTTTCTTTTTTCTGTAAAAAGGGCGGTAAATGAGGATTATTTTTTGCCAGCGTCCTCTTTGAGGCCCACAGTGCGGTTGAAAACAATTCTATTGTTTGAGGTGTCCGGATCCACGGAGAAGAAGCCAATTCTCTCGAATTGGAACTTGTCATAGACCTTGACCTGGGCAAGGGCCTGATCCGCGAAAGCCTGGACCACTGAGATGGTGTGCTCGCTGATGTCTGTTAAGAAGCCACCGGGCACCTCATTTGTATCCTCAGGATTCTTGTGCTTAAACAGTTGCTCGTACAGACGCACCTCAAGAGGTATGGGCTGGGAGACCCACTGGACAAAAGCCTTGGGTTTCTCGGCCTGCTCCGCAGATTGGCTGGAACAAATCAGCTCGACGACTTCTCCAGTGTCTGGATGCTTCACAATCTCTTCCACGCTGATCACCAGGCCGGCGTGACGAAGACCGACCGATTGCTTGGGCGACAGACGGCGATATCCCTTCTCTGGCTCCACTTTGAAGTCGCCTCGCTCTATGTAGATCACCTTGTCGAGGGTAATCTTGTGCGAACCTTTCTCTTGATTTTGTGGGAAATCCGGCACCTCCAACTGCACGGGCGCAGCATGCGGGAAGTTCTTGATGGTCACCTTGAGGGGTTCCAGCACAACCAGACGACGCGGTGCCGTCAAATTGAGTACATCGCGCACAGAGGCCTCCAACATGGCTGGATCCACAGCGATTTGAGCGCCTGTTACACCCATCTGGGCGCAGAAATTGTTGATGGCCTCCGCTGGGAAGCCCCTTCGTCTCAGGGCAGTCAGGGTGAAGAGCCTGGGATCATCCCAGTCGTGAACAATCTTTTCTGTAATCAATTTGCCAATTTTCCGCTTGGAGACTAAGGCATAGTTCATGTTCAGTCTGCCGTATTCCCACTGAACAGGACAATAGATCTCCAGCGCATTGCACAGCCAGTAGTAGGAGGAGCGACGGGATTGGAACTCCTTGGTGCACAAGGAGTGGGTGATCTGTTCGATGGAATCGCACAGGCAGTGCGTGTAGTCGTACGTCGGATAAATGCACCACGTATCGCCCGTGCGATGGTGAGGAATAAACTTGATGCGGTACGCCACTGGATCAACTTTTCCCTCTTCCAGAGTAACCTTCAGTCGCAGGGTGGCCGCTCCCTCATCGATCTTACCCCTCTTCATGTCCTCGAACAGTTGCAGCGATTCCTCGATTGGACGTTCACGCCAGGGACTTGGCTTGGGAGTGAAGCCCTTCAGCTCCTCCGCTTTTTGGTGGCAGACATAGGCCAATCCCTTGCGAATGAGGACCACAGCCCATTCGTACAGCTGCTGGAAGTTGTCCGAGGAGTAGGTAATCTTCGCAGGCTTGTATCCCAGCCACTCTACCATATCCTTGATGCCCACAAAGAATTTTTCCTCCTCCTTTTCGGGATTGGTGTCATCATAGCGCAGATAGCAGATACCGTCCTGAGCAGCAGCATAGCCGAAATTGATGTTAATGGCCTTCGCATGGCCAATGTGCAGGATGCCATTGGGCTCAGGGGGAAATCTCGTGTGGACACGTCCGCCAGTCTTCTGGAGATGCTCCTTCAATAATCTCTCGGTATGCTCGGTCACGACATAGCCATCAGTCTTGAAGTTCTCACCGGGAGCATGGAAGTGAACCTTCGTTTTCATTAGCTCCGCTATGGTGTTGGCTCCATCGGACGCAGCCTCCATAGCTTGCAAAGATGGATTCGCTTCTGGCTTGGGTTTGGCCGCCTTGGGCTTCTCGTTCTGCTTGACTGGGGGCTTCAAGTCCGCCTCCGTTTTGGGACCCAGCAGATCGAATATCTCCACGTCTATGGCTGCCTTCACCGACTTGGCATCCGCCCACTTGAGTTCGCCCCTCACATCCTGTAGGATTTTAAAGGAATTGAAGTGGTAGCGCTGCTCCAGCAGGGCTTCCTTGTAGCTGCTTTTGATCTTGGCCTGCACGATGCGTTCGATTTCCTCCGGCGTGACCACTACACCCACTCCGCACTCCTGTTCCAGCTCCTTCACATCGATGTTGGCTTTCAGCTTCTGGCCACACTTAAGAAGATACTCCAGGGCGGCATCCACGCGCTGGGTGTTGTCCAGCTTGCGCTCCACAATGTAGCGCACCAGAAGGGGCAGCTGCTCCGCTTGCTGCGCCTTCAGTTTGCTGGCCATGTGGTAGAGCAACATGCCCGTGCCGTCGGCGAGGGGAGCGCCGGCTGCCTGGGCCAGTGCCAATTGTAGGTTCTTCGTCACGTTGGCATTCTTGAGCGTCTCCTTGGCCTTTTGCTCGCTCATGCCGAGCGTCTGGAATTGGGCAATCAAATCCTCGCCTGCCATATCCTGGTTTTCTTCTCCTTTTGATGACGATGACGTCGAAACAGCGATAACTTCGGAAATTAAACAATAGAATGATGAAGTGTTAAAGATGATATTCCAGCACCTGATTTTAATTTGGTTTTAGTTTGCTTTCATCAAATCGAAATCTGAAACAATCGGGGCGATATTATGGATGACGTTCCACCTGAATGAACTAAATTCCACCTTAAAGGAACTTGAATTGACTAAAATAAACCTAAACTGGCTCTGAAAAGAAAATTAAAGCTGAATCATAAACAGTTTCACGAGTCCCCTTATTAACGATTGCTATCGAATCATCTGTTGCTATCGGAGTGCTCGCACGTGTAAAACGAAAACATAATTAAATGCGTTGTAACTTTGCCAAAATTCAGTAAAAATGGGTAAATTAAATGTCACTGTGCTGCGCTATCTAACGAAGGAGGATTTCCGCGTCCTCACCGCCATCGAGATGGGCATGAAAAATCACGAGCTGGTGCCGGGACCATTGGCCGCGGCCATAGCCAACCTGAAGACTGGCGGTGTCCACAAGCTGCTCAAGGAGCTCTGCAAGCACAAACTACTGTCGTACGAACGTGGAAAAAAGTGTAAGTGAGCGAATTAGCTGGAAAATAATAATATTAACGCATTTGGCCTTACAGATGATGGGTATCGCTTGACAAACACTGGATATGACTATCTGGCCCTGAAATCTCTTACATTGCGTGGGTCAGTGAGCTCTTTTGGCAACCAAATTGGGATTGGCAAGGAGTCAAACATTTATGTGGTGGCCGATGAGGAGGGAACTCCCATTTGCCTGAAGTTGCATCGTCTGGGACGCACCTGCTTCAGGAATGTCAAAGCCAAGCGAGATTATCATGGACGTCGGCACAAGGCCTCCTGGTTGTATTTATCGCGAATTTCGGCTACCCGAGAGTTTGCCTACATGTCGGCATTGCATGAGCGCGGCTTTCCTGTCCCGAAACCCATCGATTTCAATCGTCACTGCGTTTTGATGGATCTGGTCAATGGTTGGCCCATGTAAGATCCGAATTCGCGCCACTTTGACTGCATTTTTAATGCATTTCTTTTTTCGTAGGACCCAAGTGCACGAGTTGTTGGATATTCCACAAGTCTATGATGACCTCATGAATCTGATTGTCCGTTTGGGCAACTCTGGTGTGATCCATGGCGATTTTAACGAGTTCAATTTGATGCTCACGGATGCGGGAAAGCCTATACTGATCGATTTTCCCCAGATGATGTCCACCTCGCATGAAAATGCTGAATTGTAAGCATCACCAAACGATCCTCGTAACGACTCTATTAGTAATCCAATATAATCTTCTATAGTTTCTTTGATCGCGATGTGAACTGCGTTCGCGAAATGTTCCGTCGTAAATTCGCCTACGAAAGCGAAGATTATCCCAAGTTCAGCGATCTGGTGCGCGATGATGATTTGGATGCTGAGGTGCACTGCACTGGGTATGGCTTCACCAAGGAGATGGAACAGGATCTGTTGCAGGAGTATGGCATGGTGGAACAGTCGGAGGACGAAGAAGATGAAGGTGAGGAAGATGAGGCGCCTGCTTTGGTGACAGCGGCAGCTGTAGAGATCGACGAGTGCCGTCGTCAGGTGGAGAATGAGGTGCTCTATAGCGAGGCGAAGCCAGCTCAGAAATCAGATGATGCCATTCGTCGATACATTGAATCGTGTACCCAATATTTGGGCAATCTGACTGTGGGTCCAGAGATTATCGATGCGGAATTGCCATCGAAGCCAATAGCCTCCGATCCAGTTCCAACTCCAGAGTCGAGGCCTCAAGGCGATGTTCCACTTGTTGCTCCTGCACCTCAAGGCATTGTTCCACCAGTGGCTCCAGGTGCCGACGCACCCGCAGAAGATGCCAAATCCATTAGCTCCAATGACCTGGAAACAGATGAAATTCCCGAGCTGGCCGGCTTGGATCCCAACTCCCGCATGTATCGCCTGAAAATGGTCGAGCAAATGCTCAACGATGCGAGAAGTCAGCGCTCGTATTCCACCACGACAAGCACAATAGCACCATCCGTTATCACCGATCGCATACGCCGCAACATGGACATCAAGGAGAAGCGAGATCAGCGCAAGAAATGCGTGGCCAAGGGCGAAGCCAGCGCCATTCATCGCCATCGCAAGGAGAACAAGGATGTGGTGAAGGAGTATGCCGGTTGGGACTTTTAAAATAAAAAGGTATATAATTTGTTGGTACCTTACACTTTAGTGATACCTAATTTAATGATAAAAACGAAGCCATCCCAGATAAACGAGATTTGAAGATCAATTTGTGGCGATCTGTTCATCTCGGGTAACACGTGTAAACTCGGGTAAACTTACTTTTATTATGTACATTTGTAATAAACAGCACTCGCTCGTTCTTTATCTAGTGTAATCTGTAAACTCAACAAAGAGCGCTATTCTATTCAAACAATTTGCTCGAGATTTCTGTGATTCAGCGGAATGCTACCCATTCATATTATAGTAGGATGATTTCTTTCGTTAGAATGAGTGCTTTGACTCGAAGGCTTCCGTCTCCATTCACGAGGGCTCGCTGTCGGTCAAGCACTTGAGATATAGGGAGAACTGAACATGTATTGTAATAAATTTACACGCTGTTTCCCATACGGAATTCGTTCAATTGCTGCATGATAATGGCGTACTTACACTTATCATTTCTCCCACCTCTTAGAGGAGGGCTATATAAAAACAATGCACTCCTATTAACAAAAGCGCACAAACGCAAGACCTGAGCTACGGTTAGGACCATGCCCAAAGAAGCCACAGAGAAGACACATCCGGCACCTGCATGGCTGACCCAGGACTACGTGCAGGAGAAGTTGCGGATCTTCTTCAAAGATGACACTCTCAAATTGGAAAAGCTGATCATCAAGCCAGCCATTGCGAATGGCGAGAACTTTGGCAGTGTGATGACTCGTATCAATTTGGAATATACAACGAAACCCTCCAAGGGCACACAGACCACTACGTTTTTGGTGAAGACTACTTTTACGAGCAAGGATCCGGCTGCTGATGTGCTCTTCCCTTATGGCGTTTACGTCAGGGAAATGGATATGTATGAGAACATCCTGCCTCAGTTGGCGGAGATAGCCAGACAGGAGCTCAAGGATCAGCGGAAACTGTTTGCGGCCACCGTCAACGTGGATCGCGATAGGGGCTCCATCATCTTTGAGGACATGTCGCTGGGGCAGTACAAGGTTGCCGATCGGCTTAAGAAACTGGATCTGGAGCATACGCATCTGGTGCTGGAGAAAATGGCCACCTTTCATGCCACAGCTGCAGCTCTAAGCGAACGGAAGCCAGGCATTTTTGCCAAGGATTACGATCGGGGATTCTTTAATAAACATACCCGTGCCTACCAGCCGATCATGAGGAATCTTCTCAAGGCCCTATCTCGCTCGTTAAAGCTGGACAAGGAGCTACAGCAACGCTACCAGTCGAAGATCGATCATCTCGTGGATAATATCATGGACTATGGCGAACGATCCACAACCATAAGACCCGGGGACTTTGTGACTTTGGCCCATGGGGATCCCTGGACTACAAACTTCATGTTCCAATATGACGCAAAGGGACATCCCAGCAACATGATCTTCATAGACTTTCAGTTTAGTGTGTGGAATTCTCCGGCCATCGATCTGCATTACTTCTTCTCCACATCGGTGCACGATGATCTTCGGCTGCACCATCAGACGGAGCTGGTGCAGTTCTACTACTATAAGCTGGTGGCGGGCCTAAAAAAGGTCAATTATGGCGGCAAGGTCCCAACTTTGTTTGACTTTCAACTGCAGTTCAAGGCAAGAGCCTTCTACGGTGAGTGGAATACAGTCCTAGCTAAGGGATAATTGTACTTATAATTTCTCTTCCCTAAGCTGTTTTCTGTTCCCTACTCTTCGAGCCTGTAATGCTCTATGAGGGCAAGGAGGAGTCATCCATGGAACAGGTCCTGTCAGAGTCCGAAGGCGCCATACGGTATAAAGATAGTATCTTTCAGGTGGAGTCCATCAGAAGGAAATTGCATCTAACACTTCCGTTTCTGGATCAGCAGGGATTGCTGGATGAAATGTGATTTACTTAACAGTAACAATAAAATTGCAATTTCACCATTAGTACCTTCTGGAAAAAAAACTGACCTGTACAGGAACAGAGGGATAGGTCCTCATGGTTGTGGGCAATCGAGATATCGTTGAGCTCTTGTCAAACATCAAAGGCAAACATTAAATAAAATCTACCTGATAACACTTACAGGCACTTAAATTCGTTGTGCTGAAGATAGTTAACTAGCTGTCTGGTAAATACACTTGAGCACACACATTAGGGGGAAAGTAAATAGTAATTATTTTATATTTCATATTTCATTTGGTTTACAATACATATAACACATAAGTCTCGAGTCTCTTAGTCGGTGACGTCCAGAAGACCGATGCGATCAAAGGCGGGCAACAAATTCTTTACTATCTCCTGGAACCTCTTATTGCTGTAGACCACCCGCCTGAAGTTGCGTCCTCGCTCATCGTCCTGGATCAGGGCATTGAAGTCCGCATTGTCTGTCTGATCATTTAGCATTATACCCTGGCAGGCCAAAGACACACTGACGGCTGTATAAATGAAAAGGGAGTTATTTTTCTCTCTTTCTTTATAAAGAGTCTGTTGTGTTTACTCACCAATGAATTTCCCCTTTTCCAGCTGCAGGACAAGCTGCCTGAGCGAGGGTATATATCCACCATATTTCAGATCCTTCAGGGTATCCACTAGCACCTTATGATAGAACTGAATCAACGCATCCTGCTGGTGGAAGCGTATTTTATTCTGCAGAGAGGTGTTGAATAAGTAATGCAGATCCACGGCCGGCGAAGACCAACTGGAGAACTGAAAGTCGATGAGGATCATGTCCAGGGGTTCCTTTTTCTCGCCATATCGTAGCATCACATTGTTCACCCAAAAGTCGCCATGCACTAGCGTGTTGAACTCATCTGGCTGGGGATCATACACCCGCGTTGAGTACTCCATCAGACGCTTGACCAAGGCCCTCAGCTTGTTGCCATAGTAGCTGCCCAGCTCCGGACACTTGTCGGCGAACTCTGCCCCCATCACCATCATGTTCTGAAAGAAAGGACCAAAGCCCTCCGTGTGACGATTGAAGATTCCATGATCCAATTTTGTTAGGACTCCCGGCTGTCGTTCGTTGAGGGCAGCGGCGGCGGCATGCATCTTGGCCAGCTTTCGGAGAGCCATGTGCGTGTGTTCCAGGTCAAAGCCCGCCAACCGATCGGCCAGTACATGCTTGGACACAGCCAGATCCTCGAAGATGATCGCATCGTGCTCATAGTCCACGTGCAAGGTCTGGGCAAAGAGCTTCTCGGGCTCCTGTGTACCATCGATGAGGTCACTCAACTTGGGCAGGACTTTTTCATACATCAGCATCTCTGTCGTGCTGGCCTGGTAGCCGGAAAAGATGCTGGATATGAAAGGATCGTTCTCGTAGGTTGTCTTCACAATGTAGTATCCTTCCTCTGGAGTCTTGGCGCCGCTCTTGACGTAGGTCACTTTTACTCGGGTCATGACACTCGCATAGTTCTCCCCCTTGGCTGTGGCTGGCTTGATGTCCAGTTGGGTGATTCTCAGACCTGCATCCTTCTTCTTGCTCTGCAGCAAAGACTCCAGATAGGACTCGTTCAGCCACACGGGGGAGGGATGAAAGTCTGTCGCAGCATCTTCTTTGTTCTCTTTATGCTGTTCAACCATGATGCTTGCTTTAACTTTTGAGTCTGAATCGTTGAGGCGGAAAAAGCGCCCAATTTATAGTCAGTCGGTGTCGGGTGGCCACAATCTCATTCTCCGTCAGATCCCACATTATGGTATGGCTGTAAAGCAACCCGACTCAGACCATTACGTAGCACCTTCCGAACAGGGTCTCACTGCCTTCCAGATCTATCCACAGCTGAATAGATAAAGGAATCGCTTAGAGCTCGCGACACATACGAGTACTCGACCGTATGAGATAGTACAGTGTGAGTGGCACCTCCACAGAAATCGGTACAAGTATATAGGTACCGTACCTACTATATCGGACTATATAGTAAGTTTCACCATGTGACGTAAGTGTGGCACTGCCGTAAATCATCTCCACACCGACTGACGACCACTTACGTAGCGTTTTAAGATCACTCTCGATCCAGAGACAAATTTATCTGCTTCACAACCCATAAATCCATCTTAATGTTTCTTATGCAAAGCCCTTGTTATATATATTTATAGATACTATACACGATTACGAGAATATCTGTAGATCGTAGTGATGGGTCTCGTGCCTTGGGGCGGTGTCTTATCTGATAAAGAAATGTCGAAAAATGTCACGCAGTGGCAATGGATGATATACTGTTATCTTAAGTGATCTTTAAGTAATTTATGTGTGAGGCTGGGTGATGCTCTTTAGTTCTGATCACCAATAGTTATATAGATAGATGGAGACGAGAACGTGCAATGACTGCACCAAGTTGAAGCTCGTTACCTGCGGATTCCAGTCAGAAACTGAAACTCAATGCAATACCCACCGAATGCCCACATTTTAACCTTTGGATCCGATGAGACCTTATGAAAGCTACATATATGATCCAATGTTATTCCTTCTTTATACCTAACTACAAAGTTTTAATACGAACAAGGGATTTCCACATGGCTTATGTGCATACAATATAATGATAGATATGTATATGTGTTTGAGCTGAGATATTGAGCTGCGTATTCATGAAGGTAAACCAAGGATAGCTTTAAAACAAGAATATATGTATGTATATTTTATGGGATCGGAGATTTGCGTGACAAAACTTTGATCAAATCATTATTAACCATTCCAAATGGTTATATATACGTACAGTATGTCAAGAAAATCTTTACACACTGAAATTAAATTACATTTTTTGACTTTGGATAAGAAAATAATGGCCTTTGGTTCAAATTTATCAAATTTTTTTTTTCCTAACCATTCAGGGATTAATTATAAAGTAGTTAGTGAAAAAAGAATAACAAAACTATAAATAGGTAATTTACAAAACAACAAAAACAATGATTACTCATTTTTGACACTGTCAAGAAACTCTTTACACATTTCGTTTTCGAGCTCTGTTTTGATCTCGTTCTTAGAAAAAACGGGACTTTACCGTAATCTATGCTTCTGGCGTTGCTCAGTGCTGCTCTATTTTTGCATTGACTTTGATTTGGTTGCGAAATTTGTATGTATATTTAATAATACTCTTATGTATATATTATATTATATTATATATTATATTAAAAACTATTATTAACCTAACCAAACACGTATCATTGCCGCCTAGCGGCACTGGTCCACTTCCAGCAGTCCCTTC